TATATATATATATATATATATATATATCGCGTCTACACTTAAATCCAAAATCTACTTTCTCATCAAGAACAGTGCCCAGATGTATCTCTGCACTGTTCACGGCCTTTTGCTCATCTTTCATGAGACATGATGCAGGGACAGCAGAGACTTTTCCTTAGTTTGAGCCACATTTACTTGGAAGGAAAACTGTTCACACCATGAAAGGATTTTCTCAGCTATGGGCTCTCACTCCACACGCCGCAGAGGACTCACTATTGCAGAGTCACCGGCTTACTTAAGGACAAATATTGATCAGTGATTGATCTGACACTCGCAGATTACAGAAACTAATTAGGTCGGTCAAAGCAAACTACACAGTGGGGGATTACTGTACAGAGACCATCAACCCAGACCCTCTGGGACCTGTTTGTTCAATAGTTTGAACAGATAATTGTTCAAACTATTGAACTTGTTACATTTTAGTATACCAATATATTATTTCTTCTTCTGCTCACCAATAGTTATTGTATCAGTTCTATAATTTATTCATTTTGCTTTGTCTTAGTTGTTGACTTATGAGTTTTGAAAGAAGACCACTCATACATACATCTGCATTTGCAGAGACAAATAACTGTGCTGTACATTTTGCCTACATTTTTAGTCTCATTGACTTCATTCCTTCCCTTCCCCACAACTTCGTCTTTGTAGACCATGAGACATCCGACAGGCACCTCTCCATTCTCCAGAGCTTCTTTCGCCTGCAGCAACACATTTAAAAAAGCAGTTAACAGGAAGCAACTAAAGATGGAAAATTGGTTAGTGTTAAGAAGAACTTCAGAAGAGAAAAATCCCCAATACACCTGTGCACAGATCTCTGGCTGCAGCTCACAGCTTTGAGAGCGTGGTGTCTTTAGGGTTCTCTAGATTAAACTTTTAGACATTTCTTAATATCATAAAGGAGGCACATGAAATTATTTTTAACATTATACACTAATTATTAAGGATTTAGGGATTATAATAGTGGATCATCTGCCTCCTGCCATCTCTATCATCCTCCTCTGCCATACTAACCCTTCTTTCACTACATCCATGAACCTCCTCTGTGGCCTTGCCTGGCAACTCTGCATTCAACACCCTTTATCCAGTAAATGTTCTGCACATGTCCAAACCAACTCAGCCTTGCCTCTTTATCTCCAAATACTTAAGCTTTCCCTCTGATT